TTTTCATTTATATCACTTGTGATACTTTGTTGTCACTCAATCGCTACATTGACTGCAATTGATAAACCTGAAGTTTGTACTGTAGAGTGGAAAGTATATAGAATCTTCACGAACATGTAATGCTGGTTTCTCTAATTGGTGTAATTTCTACTGGGTGCCTCTTACACATTTATATGACACATCACATTTCCATTAGGTTGAGGGGTACAACTCAAGGTGCTAATAACAGAATGGATCTACTTGCACTTCTTACGAGTGGTGTGAATGACAGTGAGGTTGACGGCCCTGATGAAGACATTCTTGGGGTTGTTGAGAGGTGGCAAGATGATGAAACACATAACCCAGATGTTCCAGCAATTTCACACAAGAGGGGTCTAACACCTTTTGTCTTTGTTCCATTTGAGGAGGTGAGTTTGTCATTCACATTTTTGTTAAGGAGTCCCTCCTCAAATCATGCGAAAAGGAAGATGGTTTATCCTAAAAATTAAACTGTCTTCCTTTTTAAATCTGAAAATAAGTATGGCTAAGGATCCAATTCTAATAGGTGGAGGATGCTTCTTATGATTGAATGTGATGTAGTGTCTTCTAATTTACTATAACATAAAATAAATTAGCTATTTCTAACTTGAAGCTTGCTCAATATTTATTTACAATCTTGAAACAGTCGATATAGGTCTATACAAAATAAGTAAAAGAAAAATTGGCTGAGTCACTTTGCATAGTAATGTTATCAGAAGCTAGAAGAATATGCTGTTTCTCCATAATTCATACACCCAATTAGCTGCTGCATATACATGCATTAAGTCGCCACTGAATGTCCTATCTAGTTTAGATATTTCCTCCTTCCTTGCTTACAATTTTTCGCGATTGTTATCATTGTGGTCCCTTTGCTTACAGTTTTGATGATTTTAGCCCTATTTGATTCTATGATTACGATACTTCATTTTCCAATCACTAGCCTGATAAAGGTTTTCCTATATCTAACGTCACGTGAAATTACAGCGAAATAAAGTTTTAATTTGTTCTGTTCGATAACAATTTCAGATATTTGACATCTATCGCATGCATATATGATTGAACACGATTAACACTTTGCTTCTTATCCTTTTCGGGGTTATAGGTGGAAACTTCAGTTCTGAATCTCCCTGTGGAAAGAATGGACTTTTACGTGCCTGGTTAGGAACTGGATCAAATAGACAATCTATTGGCTGTAAATATCAAGTATTGATTTTTTTGCAAGTCTTTTATTTTGGTATCTGTAATTGGAAAGCTATCGATTTGTTGTGACATAGGTTCCTATCGAGAATGAAAGACTGTGTAATATGATATCTTTGTTTGTAATATATGGCAGTTTGAATATGTTCAAGTTGTTATCTGTGTGACAACTACCTTCTTTTAATAAAATACTTGAGGGTGAGAGGAGGGAGAAATTGGGAATCGAACAGTATTACCGTCTTTTAGTATGAACATCAACCTACACAAGTGGATGTTTGGGCAGTTCACCAAGTGAGTTAATAATTACTGATTTATTGATGTATAATTGTAAACATGTGTTTGATTTTGAAGTTGATAATATGTTGTGTTCAACTATAAGTTTGGCCTTGTTGTTAGCCACTCTTGAATTCTTCCCTCTCTGCATCCTTTTTTCCTTATGAACTGGGAGTTGCTTATTTAGGGTGAGACTTTCGCTTTTCAACTCTCGTTTGCACACCAAAACTCAACTTGATTGAACTGGTTTAGTTTGTTTAAATTAGCACATTTTTTTGCTTTTACTGTGCTTGAGCCTTGAACTCATCTCCATAGTTGAAGTTGAAGTATGTATTACTTTAGCTTTTAGCTCGTGAGACGAATAAAAGAAAGGAAAAAAAAAGGTATTTCGGTGCACTAAGCTCCCGCTATGCGCGGGGACCGGGAAAGGGTCGGACCATAAAGGTCTATTGTATGCAGTTTTACCCTGCATTTTTACAAGAAGCAATTCTACGACTTGAACCCGTCACCTCATGGTCATATAGCAGCAATTTTACCAGTTACGCCAAGACTCCTCCTCTAGCTTAAATACCTTAAAATCGAGTGTGGAAGGTGGAATATCGAAAGAGGAGATGAAAGATAACTCAAGAGTATGCAAGCTTTCTGCATTGATTTCGTCAAATGTTTCCCTCTATGATTTGTTTCAAGAATATTATATAAGCATATATCAATTATCATTAACAACAAGACTGCACTAAATAATAGAGTAGTATAAAGCATTGAACTAAAAGTAATGAATTTGTTGCAGGCACATCTAAACCCAACCAATCGAACGCACTACTGTGGCCAGCTCTTGTGATGTTGATTTTCACTTCTCATATATGATCACCAATAAACAGAAAAATAGGGAAAATAAAATAGAGTAGTACATATTTCTTATCTATAAATATCAATCCAGAGAGCTGCTTCAAATGTAAATCACAAGTTGGAACTCCTCTGCACTCATAAATTTCTACGGATAATGTTGGGATCAAAATAACCAGATGTCAAACAAATGCGAACAAAGTAAACCTCGGTGACAATAAATTAGAGGACAAAAAGAATTATATTAAAAGAGATATATTATATTTAATATAGTTTGGTCAATTAACCTATATATCATTTACTAAAAAAAGAGAATATAAAATTTCGAGAGAATAGTTTCCCCTTTATATAAATTTCTCTTAAGAACTACATTATGGATGCTATTTTGTATGAAGGAGTGATCCTCAATTTATAAAGGTGACAACTTTTTTCCTCTGAGAAATGAATCTATCAAATATGGAAGTGGTTTATATTTATTTATTTTTTAGAAAAAGCAAATCAATTATAGTAAATATTTTACACTTCTTTAAAACGACACGTAAATCCAAATATGAAAAGAAAATTAGGGTAAACACTAACAATTCTCCCTTGTGGCTGAACTTTCTTGACAAAGTTTGATCTGCCTTCTTCACATAATTTTCATCACTGCTGCTTGTTATGATTAAAAGTAAGTATTGGTTGAAAGTTGGAGCCATGTGCATTAAAAATAAGCACATGTTAAAAATATTGGAGTTTTGCATTAAAAGTGAGCATGGTTAAAAGTAGAGCCCTACATCAAAAGTGATCAGGGATAAAAGCAAAGCCCATATGTTAAAAGTAGGCATAAGTAGAAAATTATTTTTATTTTTAAAGATGCACCGGCAGATATGTTGAGAATATGGTTGAACATCTTTGAACATGTTTCTCGAACCTTTTCATTATCGCCAAATTGGCTGTAGCTTGATCTGAACCCAACTTGAATCTGTCTTCAACCTCGCTTCAACAATTGTCTCTGGCAGAGGCGGATCTACACTAGGCCTTGAGGGGTCACGTGAACCCGTTAACCTCGGCAAAAACCCTGTATATATATTGTATGTATAGCTGTATATATTTTAGGGACCCTTTAAATATTTTTCTTGGCCCCCTTATAATCGAATGTTGCTTGGAGCAACGGTCCGCCAGTGTCAGTAGTATTTCCCTTCGTTTTGCTACGAAGGACTGGGGTTCGAAACCCCCTTTCCATAAATATTTCTTTTTTAGTTTCTTTCACTTTTTATAACTGAAATAATCAATTATATATTAGTACAATAGTACTATTTATTAGTCACTAGTCAACAGTTGACTAATTTATAATTTTTTATTTTACCTTTTCTCAATTTTATTATATTTTAATAGTTATAGATAATAGTCAATTTTATTATTTAGTTCTTCTACAAAATCCTACCCAAAAGCCCCAAAATATTAAATCTCTAAACCTTCTTAGTTCTTCCTCAATCAAACGCAGAAGCTCCACAGTCGGCCAGTCCCCTCCGTCAAACTCAGAAGCTCCCCTCCTTCAATCTCAGTCTTCACTCCTCAGCCATCACTCCTCACTCCAAAATAGAGAACCATTCTTCCTCAATCTCAATTTCTCTCACTTTGAAAAAGTAGGGGGCATCGAATCTCTGGTTAGTGCTTCTCTTAATTTAAAACTTAATTTTTATTTATAAATTGTAAGAGCATGGAGAATTGGGGATGGATTTTATATGATTTTATTTAGGTTTAAAATTTTTGGTTCAAGAATCCCCAAAATTTAGGTTTGCCACTGGTAATTAAATCAAATTTTCTCTAATGTTATAAATAAATAAATAAATATACGTCTGCATTCTAATTATAAAGTGATGAATACGTACATCTATTAACTTCGCTGATTGTAATTGGCCTTGTTGATGATTACGGGCCTTTAAAAGTCAGAATCGCAGCCACTTTATTTTTACTAACTTTTCAATAAATTAATCACTGTCATATGATACTTAGCTCAGCTAACATTCAATTACTTATGGATGAAATCTCTGTATATTGGGTTTCTGCTTTGCTTTACTATGGTTATGAAACTTTTTGCTTTGCTGTGGTTTCTGCTTTAACCCTTTTTGCATTTGATGAATTTCTATTTTTGATAGACTATTAAATTTATTGAACTCATTTTTTGTAGGAAGTTCTTGTTCTTGTGAATTGAGATGGACGTATTTTTGACGAAGTTTAATTCTTCTCAACCAAGTTCTAGTCTTAGAAACAATTCCTCACATCTTATAGATGAGTTTGATGAGAAATTACTCAATCCTGACCCTGGAGAGAGAGTACCCCATTGATAAATATAGTCTTAGAATACAGGATGACGTAAGAAGACACTACATTCAAAATGGACCTTGCCAACCAGTTAATCATAAATTTCCTAAAACTTTATTCGGGAATAAAATGCGTCAATTTAGTTCGGGTTGGTTTAAAGGTTCCTATTCTAGATGGTTGGAGTATAGTGTGAAGAAAGATGACGCATTTTATTTATGTTGTTATTTATTCAAAAATGATTATGTTCATGAAAGCACGGATGACTCTTTCACAAAAACGGGCTTTAAGGCTTGGAATAAAGCTTCGGAAAGCCTTGATTTACAGGTTGGTAAAGTAAATAGCCTCACCACAAGTGTTTCAACAAGATGCTAGACTTATCAAATCAATCCCAATCAATTCAAGTTGCTTTTGATAAGCAATCTGAGAAACAAAGAAACGAGCACCGAATTCGTTTAAATAAATCAATCGATGTTGTAAGATTTCTCTTGTATTTTGGGCTGTCTTTTCGAGGTCATGATGAAAGTGATTCTTCAAAAAACAAAGGCCTTTTTCTAGGGCTTTTGGAATGGCTTACAAAGAGGCTCCCTGAAGTAGATAGAGTCATATTGAAACATGCTCCAAAAAATGATATGATGACTTCGCCAAAAATTCAAAAGGACATTGTGAGTGCTTGTGCACAAGAAACCGCGAAAGCTATAATCAATGATTTGGATGGGGATTATCTCGGGATATTAGTTGATGAGTCCAAGAATATTTCACACCATGAACAAATGGCCCTTGCTTTGCGGTATGTTGACAAAAAAGGCCAAGTGAACGAGCCATTTATTGGTCTTGTTCGTGTTCATGATACCTCTGCAAAGTCGTTGAAGAAAGCAATACTTTCTTTGCTTATGAAACACCCATTAAGTCCATCCAAAATACGTGGACAAGGTTATGATGGAGTTAGTAATATGCAAGGAAAAATAAATGGTCTTAAAGCTTTAATTTTGCAAGAAACTCCTTCGGCACATTATATTCATTGTTCGCTCATCAATTACAGTTGACGCTTGTAGCGGTTCCTAAAAAACATAAGGAGGTGAAAACTTTCTTTGCTATAGTTGCTAATGTGTTGAATGTGATTGGAGCATCCTTTAAACGTAGAGATCAACTTCGGGGTCATCATGACGAATTATTGGAGCAATTGCTAGAGAGTGGTGAAGTTCAAAGTGGGAAAGGATTAAATCAAAAGCGAGGGCTTCAAAGGCCAGGTGATACTCATTGGGGATCACATTGTAAAACATTAGATAACTTTGTTGTTTTATTTGCATCTATTGTTCATGTGCTTGGGGTGATTGAATATGAAGGTCAAGAGGCTAATGATAGATTGCAAGCAGAAGCTTTTTTTGAGTAAAATCAATTCATTTGAATTTGTGTTCTTGCTTCACTTGATGTTGAAGGTATTGTTGATGTCGAATGAGCTGAGTAAAGCTTTACAGAAGAAAGAGCAAGATATTGTCAATGCCATGATATTTCTTGACCTTACAAAGGAAAGGTTGCAACAAATGAGAGATGAAGGATGAAAATCATTAATGGATGAAGTATATTTGTTTTGTACTAAACATGACATTTTGGTGCCTAATATGGAAGAATTCTATATTCCTGGAAAGTCGAAGCGTAGTCCTTCTAATGTTACTTATTCACATCACTTACGTGTTGAGCTTTTTTATACAGTGATCGATTTGCAAGTTCAGGAGCTTAACCGTCATTTTGATGTTGTTAGTGGTAACTTGCTTCTTGGTATGGCTAGCTTGAATCCGGCTAACTCGTTTGCTAATTTTGACAAAGAAAGAATAATGACCTTGTCCAAGTATTATCCAGATGAGTTTGGCAAATTGAAGCTTCGAGATCTTAGTCACCAACTTGACACTTTCATATTGCACATGCAACAAGGTGACCCTAGATTCTCAGATTTGAAAGGAATTAGTGACTTGGCAAAAGCATTGGTTGAGGCAAATCTTGTGGAGACATATTCACTTATTTATTTACTTGTGAAGTTGGCTCTAATTTTACCTGTCGCGACTGCAACGGTAGAAAGAGCATTCTCATCCATGAAGTACATCAAAAACGAATTGCGTAGTAGTATTGGTGATGCATTTTTAAATGATTATTTAGTTTGTTACTTTGAAAAAGAAGTATTTACAAATGTAAGCAATGATGCTATTATTGACCGTTTTTAGAATATGAAAAAGTGTCGAGTTCAAGTATAAGTGGATGATGTACTTTTGTTATATTAGTATCAATTAAAGATATTCTATAACATTGAAGTTTGTCTTTTGATGTAAATTGTGTCTTCTTTAGTTCTCATTTTTGGATAACAGTAGATATTACTATTAGTATGTCAGGAATTGTTATTAAGGCCACTACGCTTGTTTTATATTTTAAAGTTTATTCCAGTTTAGTCCATGTGTGCGTAAGGATGTGCAAGAAGTTGTATATTTTCTTGGAATGCTTTTTTTTTTTTTAAATTCGCAGATCAATTGGGGAGTCTGATGAAATCGAAGTTTGTGTTCACGGGTCAATTGGGGAGTATGATGAAATCAAAGCATAAACTCTTCTTACTTTATTTTAGTTTTTTGCTTAGCAAGTTTATATTATATAGTGGATTGTGCTGCTTATTTACTGGTCTATCATAGAGTTTATACGTATTTTTTTTATTAGCTTTGGATAATTCACTCTAATGACAATGGTGCCCCGTTATACTCAAATCCTGGGTCCGCCTCTGGGTGCATTATGGAAGTTTCCTAAAGTAAAACTAGTTATACAACCAAATATGAAAACTCTATTGGTGCATTAATTAACTTCTAATACACTAAATCAAAGATACCGAGAATTAGCATTTATGATTTGTCCAGCTTGTTGATCTCCGGGAAATGATATTTGTGCTGATTTGCTATTTTTTTCTATTAGAGATCGTCAATTTTACTATTTTAAAAGTTAACTATATTAAATTTTATCAATATTAATTTAAAGTAAAAAAATTCAAAGCTTGAAACGAGGCATCCTTTGAGCTTTGAAGAAAGCTATAAAGTGTCGTGGCTCGAGTGATTCACAACCTAAGGGTCTCAAATTTGATCTATGAGGTATTAACTTGTATACGGTTAAAACCGGATCTACCCGATTTTACTATTTGATCGAGGCTGAAGAATTGCATCAAAGGTTGACCTCGCGACGGACCAGACCGAGGTACGAGAATAAGGCACCGAGTTCGAGGACCGAGATACCTATCGAAGATCGAGACCAAATGAGACAGACATCGAGCAAAGCACAATAACATAAAGGCGAGATATCCGTGACTAGCCGAAGATCACGGCGTAAATCTCGGAACAGATCAAATCAAGGGCGGTTATTTAGTTAATCATGGGATTTGCTTCCGAAATTAGAATTGTACCATAACTAGGATTCCTCTGCTATATAAATAGGGTCCTAATCATTTTGTAACCATCTTACATCCACGCATATCAAAGCAATACAATACTTTCTAGCTTATATTCTTGTTTATCATTTAGCTTGTTTCTTAACTATTTTATGCACCGATCAGTTCGACGTCACTTAAGCTCGAAGGTTGAATCATGTTTCAAGACTGGTTTGCTCTATCTTATTGTTAATCCATACTGTTAATCTTTACGTTTATCAATTGGTATTAGGTGAAATCATGTGTCCTTAAAACCACATTATAAGTTTAATTGTTATCCAATTTTTAGAGTAAACAGTTTGGCGCCCATCGTGGGGCTAAAGATAATATTGATTGCCTGATATTTATTTTCATAACACACACTACTTTACGCTTGTTCTTGTGAGTATTTTTTATTTCAGGTCAACATGTCTAACTCGCAAGCAGTATCCACTCACGCCAATGACGGCCTCGGTTTCCATGGAGAAAACGATAATTTAGTCGCCCCAAGGATCAAAGTGCCTCAAGCTGGACACGAGGGAGTACCAAACACGGACCCCGTCGATGTCAGTTCACACGTCGCCCTAAATGCAAATTTGGGCGTTGACCCTGGAAATAGTGTCCGCAGAGATGCCCGAGCAGTCGATCAGAACGCATAGAGCGGTGGAGAAGGTGGAATTAGCCTTCGCATGATATTCGAAATGTTACATACTCAACAAGCTGCAAAAGCGCAACTCCAAAATCAGAATCGAGCACCAAGCAGAATTGAACTCGAAACGTCATAGGAAGTTGTTCACAGAATTGAACCTGTACCGGAGAAATCGAACGCCAATGAATCATGGATTGACCCCGACATTATGAAGATGATCAAGGAGCTCAATAAGAGGATCAAATCATGTGAAAAGAAAATCAAGGCTAATAACAAAAAGGTAAAAACGTACAACTCACGGGTTGACCAAATACCGGGGGCACCCCCGATTCTAAAGAGTTTGGATTCGAAGAAGTTCATGCAGAAGCATTTCCCTCCAAGTGAGGCTCCGAATCCCATTCCTAAGAAATTCCGTATGCCAAAAATCCCTAAATACAATGGGACCACCGACCCTAATGAGCACGTCACTTCTTACACGTGCGTAATAAAGGGGAATGATTTATAAGATGATGAGATTAAATCCATTCTATTGAAGAAATTTTGTGAAACTTTATCGAAGGGTGCCATGATATGGTATCATAACTTGCTACCCAACTCTATTGATTCGTTTGCTATGCTCGTAGATTCTTTTGTGAAAGCCCACGCCGGAGCCATTAAAGTTGCAACGAGGAAATCGCCTCTTCAAGGTAAGACAAAAGGATAACGAGATGCTCAGGGAATTTGTAACTCGATTCCAAACGGAGAGAATGGATTTTCCTCCCATCACCAACGACTGGGCTTTTCAAGCTTTTACACAAGGTCTCAATGCTCGAAGCTCCATAACCTTACAATAGTTGAAGCAAAATTTGATCGAATATCTGATTGTCACTTGGGTCGATGTGCACAATCGGTATCAGTCGAAGATTAGGGTCGAAGATGATCAACTGGAAACTCCAATTGGTTCGATTTATCCCATCAAGCCCGTGGACAGAGTTAAAAGGGACATCGATCGGGAGCCACAATCAAATAGAGATAGGTACCAGCCATACAATGGAGATCGGAGAAATAACGGGCCCGGACGCAACCCCGTATGGAATTATAGAAGAAACAATCGGGGACAGAGTTCTCGGGGGCTTATGAGCAAAAGCGTTTTCGATAGGGATGTTGGGTCCAAGGAAGCACCTCGACTGTCAGAATACAACTTCAGCGTCGATGCATTAGGTATTGTATCAGCCATCGACCGGATTAAGGATACTAGATGGCACAAACCCTTACAGACCGATCCAGCTCAAAGGAACCCTAATCAAATGTGCAAATACCATGGTACCCATGGTCATAGAACTGAAGACTGCAGACAACTGAGAAAGGAGGTAGCCCGTCTATTCAACAAGGGTCACCTTTGAGAATTCTTAAGTGATCTGTCTAAGAATCACTTCAAAAATAGAGATTCGAACAAGAAGAGTCATAACACTTGATTCATATGATCGTTGGTAGGGTCGATATCTCTCAAGGACCGGTATTCAAATGCACCAAGGTGACGATCACAAGGGAAAAACGAACTTGGGACTACTTACCAGAAGATACCTTGTCTTTCAACGATGAGGATGCAGAAGGGATTGAATAGCCTCACAACGACACGCTGGTAATATCTATTCTTATGAATAAAATTCAAGTTAAACGTGTGTTGCTTTATTCGGGTAGCTCAAAAAAATATTATTCGATCGAGGGTCGTAGAGTAACTCGGCCTTCAGGATCAAACTGTGCCTACAACTCGAGTACTCAACGACTTCAACATGGCAAGTGAAACTACCAAAGGGGAAATCATTTTGCTAGTAAACATGGCCGGGACTATCCAGGAAACAAAGTTCCATGTAATCAAAGGTGATATGAGATACACCGTGCTGCTCGAAGACCTTGGATTCATAATATGAGGGCAGTACCTTCGACGCTTCATCAAGTCTTGAAATTCCTAACATCGGAAGGAATCAAAACAGTGTATGGCGAACAAACTGCCGCCAAAAAGATGTTTGTAATCGATGAAGTAGTATCAGTATCAGTGCTTTCGTCAACAAAAGGATTGGAGTCAAAGGGAAAATAAGAAGTCAAATAGCAACCACAGGCACCAGCCTCGGCCCCATCGGAGGAGCAGGAGATATTCGAGGATGAAGATTATATGATACCTCAAACCTTTATATCCCAGATAATTCTAATGCAACGAAATCGACGGTCAAGGATCTGGAACAACTCATACTGATCCAGCATCTTCCTGATCGAAAGGTATACCTGGGCAAAGGGTTCACTCCCTAGCTCAGGAAAAAACTCGTTCAATTCCTTTTAAATAACATGGATTGTTTAGCTTGGTCCCACCTAGATATGACAAGGATCCTACCGGAGATCACAACACATCAATTGAGCCTGGACCCGAAGTTCAGATCGGTAAAAGAAATGAGAAGGCCCCAGTCCGAGGTAAGACATGCATTCATCAAGGACTAGGTAACCAA